CAGCTTTTACCCAAGGCTATGGTAGTTGCTTCCTTAGACTGGGTGTCTTGCCAAAGCCATTCCCTTCTTCATCCTTTCAACCAGCATCTAGAAATGATATATAGCCTTAGTGAGGGAGAACAACTACTATTTTCTTAAGCGGACATAATAGTAAATTGACTTATCATTATAGGCATGTATTAATGCACATCTTGACTTTCAGCAGAAAGGCTGTTATGTGAAGCATAAAGTGATTAAACACAGAGATCCAGAACTTCCCAAGGTACAGAGATTAAGAGAGTACAGAATTCTGAACCTTAATTGGTCAAAGTCCCATTTCCCACAGTTCAGGGTTCTTTGCTGAAGAAAACCTGAGAATCTTTAGGACCAGAGTAGGTAAGGTACTACAAGGGATACAATGTATTCAAGACAGAGCAGGTCAGTTTCATGTATAAAATATTTTTGGTCTTAACAAAATGAACAGGACCTATTTAAGTCAATAACAAACTAAATCTCAGAGTGGAGAGTGGAGTGGGGCATGAAGCCCCATTAATTGTCAAGGATCTGTTGGCAATTGTCAGGTCCCAAGAGAAAGTAATTGTTCTAACAATGTAATTCCTGCAATACAACTGCTCCAGTGAAATATCACAAGTCCAGGAAATTTTGGACCACATAACTAGGTACTTATGGGTTTAAAAATGAAATACCACAAATCCACATTTGAGGATGATCAAATCTAGTTGTGTGAATTTCTTAATATTTAAAAATATTAAATTTTTTAAAAATAATTTCAAAGTAACAAATGAAAAATAAGTAGGCCATGAATTTTAAGGAGAGTGGGGAAAGTTACATGAGAGTGTTTAGAGTGAGGATAAGGAAACAATAAATATTATAAATAAAATATAATATGAAAAATAAACAAAATGATATTCCCATATCAATGTTTTGATATGAGATTCTCAAGTTATGACATAATACTTTAAAAAAAAAATTCTAAACCAAGGGAAAATGAGAGAAGGAAAAAGGGAAGGAAGGATCAAGGAAGGAAGGAAAAAAGGAAAAAATAAGGAAAAATGGAAGAAAGAAATGATACAATATAAAGGTCAATTATCATTGTCAATGTACATTGGAGGCAAGTAATCACTTCTAAATGATACTTTTATTACCACTATGGCCTTAATTGATTGCTCATGGCATCTCTCGTGCTTTGCAAACTTTCTTTATTCTTACCTGTAGATGGAAGTTTCTGTCCCACAAACCACTCGCAAATAACCATAAAGATATTTTTATATTAATTGTGTTTACCCAATTGCTCAGGGCTGTTACTAGCTAACTCATACATTTATATTATCCCATACTTTTTAATCTATGTCTTTTCACATGGCTTTGTACCTTTCTTACAACAGCACACCCATTGTTCTTCTCCTTATCTCTGTCCGAGACTGCTGACTCTGCCCTTCTTCCTCCCAGCATTCCCAGGTTTGCTCTCCTGCTTAACATGTTCCTGCCCAGCTATTGGTCAACATCTTCTTTATTAAATCAATTGCAGCAACATGCATACACATATACAGTGGGAAGAAATGTTTCATATTTCCCACTTTTTGTGTAATTAAAAAAGGAGGTTGTAACTTTATCAGAGTAAAATTATATACCACAAAACAATTATCAAGTAAGAATTACAATTATAATATCCAGTCTATTTGCCTTTGACAAAATTAGAAAAAAAGTATTCTATTGTCTGTTTTATCACTGGAAGTCTAAAGTTTTATACCTAATTTACATTTTATCATAACTAAGGAAAAGTAAATATGACTAGCTAGACTTCAACATACAAATAGTATAGCAAATTAACTTTAAATTTGTATCAATAAAGTAAAATCCATAACAATATAAAATACTTTACACAAGTAGTTGTTTCTTTATTTTCAAAGTAGGCTCAAAATTTATTCTTTTATCTTATCATTTCTATATTCTTGCCATTTTTTCAAAACAAGATCCCTGAATAATCTCTTTCATTTAGCTTTTTTTTCCTTCTATTACAAACAACGGCTTGTAACCAACCACCCTTAAATAATGGCATTTATCCATATCCCAGTGAATGACCAAAAACTGTACACCCACATCTTGGGAATGTAAGTCTCATGTTCTTAAAATTAATTTCTGTTGTCTGGGGACAATGGCATCTCTAGGGAACCCTGAAAAAAGATAGGAAAATGATTAAGTGTGGTAGGCTGTATCATCTCAGCTAGCAGCTTTGGAGCTGTTCTGAATGCTGGATCGTCTGGGCCATCTGTTTTTATTGGGATCTGGTCTCCTTGCTCTGAAAGTACATAAATTTTTAAGGATATATTCCATTCTTAATGGTGAATTATCTTTTTGATGTTTCTTGTATTTTGTTTGCAAGTACTTCACTGAAACTTTTTACCTGTCTGATTATGAGAGATATTGGTCTATAATTTTCTTACATTAATTGCATGTTTATGATTTTGATATTAGAGTAGTATTGGCTTTGTAAAAGGAGCTTAAAATGTTCCTGATTTTTAAAAAAACATAGCATAAGAAGTATTGCTTATAGCTCCTTGAATGTCTTGTAGAATTCTGGTGTAAATATGTCAGTAACTTGGTATTTTGTTTAATTCTTTTTTAAATATTTATTTATTTATTATGTATACAATATTCTGTCTGTGTGTATGCCTGAAGGCCAGACGTCATTATAGATGGTTGTGAGTCACCATGTGGTTGCTGGGAATTGAACTTAGGACCTTTGGAAGAGCAGGCAATGCTCTTAACCGCTGAGCTATCTCTCCAGCCCCTTTTGTTTACTTTTTTTTCTTTTTATTTTATCAGAATGCTTTTTATTACAGTTTTGAGTTCCTGAAATTTCTTAAGTCTGTTTGTTTATTTTTATGTTTATTAAATTTGGTGGTTCTGATGCATCTAGGGATTCTTCTATTTCTTTTCTTCTAACCAAATTGAATATTGATTTTTACAGAATTTCAAAACAATATTGTAAATTTCTAAGATATCTCTTGCAATATTTCCCTATAATATCATTTCTATTTCTGTTATTTTGGGTCACCACTTTCTTTCTTTGATTAAATGGACCATGAATTCCCCAGTATTATTTAGCTTCTCAAAGAATCACCTCTTAGATTTATCAAGAAATTATGGCATAAATGAAAGACTGATTGATATAAAAATGTGTCTATCCCTGGCCCTCCTACAAGAACGTTATCAATTATGCTGTTGTGGGAAGCATGCACAAGTATGATGAAACAGGATAAAGGTTGGAAATATTTCTAGAAAAAAAGTCTGGTGGTAAGCTTCTTTACTAAGATTCTTGGGATATTTAAATTATTCACTGTGTACCATATGAACCCAGTCTTTTAAATCATATTATAATTTGTTTCCATCAGGCTACTCTTTCATTCTAATATTTTGTAGGGAATATGGTATAGCTACATATTTTTCTTTTGGTAAAATGAGTAATTATACTAAAGGAAACCACTCATTTCTATCTAATTAGAGATTACAAAATATAAATTATACAGAAATAATTCATTTGCTATGTTTCACATAGCTCTTTACATGCTTAGGAAGATACAAACTCTGAAAGTAGGTATACAGTATCATACATCATTCATGTATTTTCAATTGCAATATAAACAGAAAAAAATGTATTTTATCATATGCTATATAAACACTTTTATGCATCATGTATCATTTTAATCCATCCCAAAGTATAGAACACCATTTAAGATATTAGTTCTCACAGATTTCTCAAGTTGGTCATTACTTAAATTATTTAAAAAGTTTAATTGTTATGATTCAGAAAATGAAAATCATGACTCTTTAGGTGTTCTAAAGTTAGGTAGAAAATAGTAATTTATAGGAAAATATCTAGAAACACATCATTAACTCTCTGAATGTGTAAATGAGTTTGACATTTGCTAAGAGCTAATGAGATGCTTACTTGTTGCCCAATTTGTCACGCACCCCTTTCTGGAAGGCTTAAGCACAGCCAGCTTCCAAAATGTGAGTCATTAGGACAGATTGAATCAAAATATTCCACAATATACCTCTCTTCTGACAGCACTTCATGCAGAAAGACAAGAAGTCTAATACTGGATGGATATTATAAATCTTGATTCCAGAAGTTATTAGTTTTCAGTAAATGCACTTTGTTAAGAATGTGTTCATGGTAAAAATGTAAGAACAAAAATTGATTTAGCTAGAGATTGTAATTTTCTGGCTGCACATGCCATTTATTTTTACTTCTCTCCTATTTGTTTTATAATAACTATCTTAGATTTCAAAATTCAGATTTTTAGCAGCCTTTTTTTCATAAACTAGTTAATCTTTAATGCTACAGGTTGTGAGTATCAGTAACTATTTGACCTATAGCTATTAGGTTTGAAACTTGATTATGACATGTCTCAATAACAATGAATTTTGCTCTCTATGAGAACTTATTAGTTTGCCACAAACACTAACTGAGCAACATTGCTTCTACTTGTGTAAAATAGACTGTTCTGTTTTCTCATTCATCGATCATGTTTTCATAATTTGATTTTGAGATGATACTTTCTTTCTGGCAAATATAAATTAATCCAGAAAAATTGACATCTATTGGTGGTAGAGCATTTACGTTATATGTATGAAGCTATCAATGAATTAAAAATATATCAAATTATCAAACAATAATCAGTTATCATAAACATATTGATAAGGAAATTTTTATTATATTTTCTTTTTATTCTTCTCTCATGAAATGCATCCCGGTCATAGTGATCCCTCCCACCACTCATCCCAGCCTTCCTTCTATTTACCCACCCGCCATTCCTTTCATAAAAGAGCAGGAGTCTCAGTGATATCAACTGAGGATAACATAAAAAGATGCAGTAAGACCAGACACAAACCCTCCTATTAAGACTGGGCAAAGCAACCCAAGAACGTACAAGAAAGTTGGAGATAGCACCTACTCCACTGTTAGGACTCTCACAGGAACGTATTTTCAACAGATCCTGCACTGTGAACCTGCTTAGTGGATTCCGTGGACGGTGTTCTCCAGGTATCCTTGACCCTCCTGGCTTCTTCAATTCTCCAACTTCTTCTTCTCTTGTTTATGAAAAAAAACTCTTAAATTGATAAACATGTGCCTAAATACTCATATGACATTGTTAAAAAATTGATTTCCCCCTTCCAACCATTGTTGTATTCCACACTGTGTGGTAGTCTCATCTACCGGAAGTGTATTTCTTCTCTTCTAGATAAGGTTTAAAATATTTTAATTTAATTAATTTTGACTGACATTAATATTAATCACATAATTTTAAATTAAGATTACATGAATAGTACAAAATAAAAAACTTATATTGTTCTTTGCCATTAAATTTTTTCATGTATTTTTTTATTAACTTAAAATTCCTGCAGTATTTTCTGATCACAGTTTCCGTGCCCCATTTGCTTCTCTTCCCTGATCCTCCCACTCTATGACACATCCACACCTTTTCTCTCCATATGTATAGAAAAGAGTCAATTAAAAATTTTAACCAAGTCCGAATAAAAACAACATGAAAAAAACTGCGAAAAGCACAAGATACACAGACACAAAAACACACAATGTATGAAAACATAAAATCTGTAACTATAATGTACAAGTAAAAGAAAAGTGAGATTAAAAAATTGACAACTAAAGCAATATGAGATTTTTTTTTTTAAAAAAAAAAGATCAGAAAAGTGCCATTGAGATCATTTTTCTTTGACTTACTAATGCTGGGCATGTAACTGGAACTTAAGCGTGATTTGGATAACCAGTGGGACTCCTTTGTCGAAAACTGACTTTTTCCTTTTTGAGCAGTTGTCACTTACAGATAGATTCTTCAGTGTTGATTAAAGCTCCGGCCATCTTCACACTCTCAATGACTGCCGTGACACTTTCTGGCTGAAATCTGTGCAGACCCGGTGTCTGCTTGTATAGTCTCTCTGAGTTCATATGTGTATCATGTGTCTGGAAGCCATGTTTTCATTCATTGGTATCTTCCACGCCATTTGACACTAATTATCTTGTTGCCACCTCTTTTGCAGGGATCTATGAATCTAGAGAAAAAACGGGTTTGATAAAGACAGCCAGTATAAGACTAAATGTTCCAATGTCTATCAATATCTGTTTATTGCCCATTTGTAGTTCTCTGTATCAGGAGAGTTTTCTGACGATTCCTGAGTGAGACATTTATCCATAGCATAGTAGACTATCATTATGAGTCATTTTATTGTTTTATTGTCGTAGTAGGAGAGAGGCCACTTGTTGGTTCCAGGCTGCCTAGAGAGAATAATCACACAAACTTCCTCTTGGCTAACTCTACTTATTAATTTAACCCATTTCTATTAATCTGTGTATCACCACAAGGTTGTGGCCACCAGCAAAGTTTTAGCACATCTATCTCTGGTGGCAGCTCCATGGCATCTCCCTGATTCCACCCTTCTTTCTCCCAGCATCCAGTCCAGTTTTCTCTGTCTACCTAAGTTCTGCCTTGCTATAGGTCTAAAGCAGTTTCTTTATTCATTAATGGAAATTACAGCAACAGAATGGACTCCCACATCATACTGTGATCATTTAACAGAAGAACAGTGCTTAAATAGTATTTAATCGTTCCCGATGTCCCTGGCCAATCTCTCATTAAGTTCTTGGCCACCTTGGCCCTTGATATTTGGCAGTATCAATATGGCTTCCATCTTATGTAGTGGACTTTCAATCAAGAATGGTTAGTAACTCCCACAACTTATATGGTATTATTGCACCAGCATATTTTACAGGCAGTTCACTTCTGGAGATCACACAATTTTAGCTGGTTTGGTCATTACCTTTCACCCCTGAAAGCATACAGAATGCCTTCCAGTACCATGAATACCGGTAAGTATCTGTGAAAGCTCTGGTCAGGCATCGGCTCAACTTTTTGCTGCTCAATGATATACGTGCTATCTGTGACAGTCAGCTTTTTCCACCAATCTTGAAAAGCATGTGATACATGGCAACAGTGGACATTTCAGAGTGGTGAAAGGTCAGTGTCCCCTTTACCCCTTCTCTTGTCAAACATAGACTGTTGTTTGTTATATGGGTCATGGTTATTTCCTGACATAATAAGAAATCACAAAGAAGTATTGATTTGATTTCTCTACTTATTAGGATGTTGAAAATTTTAACAGTGTTTCTTAGACATTTGTGTTTCTTATTCAGGGAAAACATAGTTTATTTCTGTTCCTCATTTTTTAAGTTGTATTATTGGTTTTCTTGATATATAGCTTTTTGAGTTCTTTGTATTTTTAGACAGTAATTCTCAATGTAAAATTAGTAAGGGTCTTTTCCCAATATACTCAAAGAATGATGGTTTTCATCATATATAGAAATGTTTCAGTGTAATGAAGTCTCATAATTGTTGGTCTTAGTGTCTCTGCTACTGCTGCCCCGTTCAAAAAGATATTTCCTGTCTAAAAGTTCAATAATATTTCCCAGTTTCTCTACTACCAGACTCAGATTATCTGACACTACCTTGGTGTCTTTGACAATTTGGGGATGAATTTGAGCAAAATGATTGATAAAAATGTATTTGCATTCTTCTAGAGCAGTGGTTTTCAAATTTCCTAATACTGTTACCCTTTATTATCATTCCTCTTGCTGTGGTGGCATGAAAAATAAAATTATTTTTCTTACTATTTCTTGACTATAATTTAGTTACTGTTATAAATCATAATGCAAATACCTGTGTTTTCTGAAGGTCTTAGGTGTCCCCTATGAAAGGTCATTCTGTGCCCAATGGGATCACCATCTACAGGTGGAGAACCATTGTTCCACAGTTTGACCACCACCGTTTGAAGATGACTCTTTTGCTATTGTGTCTTTCTGACTTCTTGATAAAAAATCGAATGCCCATAGGTGGGTGGACTTATGTCTGGATCAAGTCAAACTCAATGATTAATGTGTTTGTGTTTATGTCAATGCTATGCTATCTCATTATCGTAGCTCCTTAGTATAGCTTGAAATCTTGGATGATGATAACTTCACAGTATTTCTTGCCCATAATTCAGAATTATTTTCACTACTATGAGGTTTTCTTTGTGTTAGTATGTATTTACATATGAAGTTGGAAATTCTGTTCTTCAATTCATGGGAAGAAGTGTGTTGAAATTTTGATGAGTATTGTGTTGAATCAAGAGATTGCTTTTTATAGGATAGCCATTTTCTCCATATTCATTCTAATGATCCGTGAACATGGAAAAACTTTCTACCTTTTGTTATCGTGTCTGTTTTTATTCTCAATGTTTTAAAATATTTGTTATACTAGATGTTTATTTTCTTAGTTGAGTTATTCCTAGATGTTTTATAATGCTCATGTGAAAGGTATCATCTCATTGATTTCTTTCTTGATTTGTTTCTAGTATGTTCCAAAGAGTCTCCTCAATTTTTGTGTTCTATTTGTACTCTGATATTTTGCTGAAAGATTTTGACCAGTTGTAGGAGTTTACTAATAGATATTTTAGGGTTTTTAATTAACAAATCTTATCATTTTAAAATAAAGATACTTATAGTTAGAATTATCTTCCATCCTGCTGATCCATCTGTACTGATTTTTCTCTGCCCATCTGTTCCCAAAGCCACTTATGAAATAACCACTCTGAGGTTTAATAATAATTACATACCTATTCTTTGGCCTATTAGCTCGGACTTCTTAACTAACTTTTACATCTTAAATTAACCATTTCTATTATTTTATATTTTACCATGAGGCTCATGGTTTGTTACCTCCCATCTTGCTTTTTGGGCGGCTACATGGCATCTGCCTGACTTTCCTTCTTTCTCCCTGCATTAAGTTTAGTTTTCCCACCTAGCTGTATTCTGCCCCACCATAAGCCAAAGGAGCATTTTGACTTATGGTAATAAGTCAAGGTAATAAAACATAGTCATAGCATACAGAGGAAAATCACACATCAGATACTCTGACTTCTTCCTTTACTTGTGTTTCTTTTTGATTTATATTGTTTGAGCAAAGACCTTGAGTACTGTTTAAATAGGTATGGAAAGAATGTTTATGCTTATAATGTTCCTGATTTTAGCATAAGTGTTTTGAATTTTTTCTGGTTGGGTTCATGCCAATTGACTATGGGCATGCTGTATACTGTCTTCATCACGTTAATAATTGTATCACTTGTCTTCCCAGTATTTTACAACAAAAGGTGTTGGATTTCAACAAAGGCATTTTCTGCATCTAATTAGTGTTTGTTGCAATGTCTCTAATTTTAAAATTTCAATCTTTTCCTATACTTTTTAATTATGTTGACTAAGGGTTTAACAATATAACTGATTTTGTTCAAGAATGAACACTTCATTTCTTTGATTCTTTGTGTGGTTTTGTTTTTATTTTATTAATATGTTCAAATTTGAGTAGCTATCGTCAACTATTCCCTTTCGGCATGATTCCTTCCAACATTTTGTTGAAAATATTTTTTTTTGCCTTTGATTTGTCTTACTTCTCTTTCCTCTATTCTTAATATTCATAGATTTGTCTTCCAGAATATCCTGGCATTTCTGGGTGGTGGTGGTGGTGGTGGTGGTGTGTGTGTGTGTGTGTGTGTGTACCTATTTGTTATACTTGCGTTCAACACATGAGATTCTCTTTTTTTTAATGTCTTATATTTTGTTTATGGACTTTCAGCAAGTAGTGCTTTATCATCAGTGAAATACAAATTATTGATTCATACACCACCTACCTGCATGCCTATCTTCTCATCCTTCATGGCTGTTACAATTTTTAATTTCAGGAATAGATTAAAGAGCAGAGGTTCGAGATCACATCCCTGCGATACTCCTACGATTGTCTTAAACTGATCACTTAGTTTTCCATAGGTTTTGACTGATACAAAGTTTTATCTATAGCCATCTTCTAGTATTTTTATGAACATAGTTTAAGCAAGCAAAAACCCGGGTACAAAAGTAAACGTTGAGAAGACTGAGATACAACACATGGAATAGGCATACAGTGATTCCTTATTACAGACTCAGGACCTCAAGCACTCATCTTTGTCTGTCTGGGAGGAAGCCTTAGTTCAAAAAGCGAACTATTTCAGACATCAAGGGACAGACAGTTAGGGATAGCGAGGACTGCATCAGGCCGTAGGAGAGGTTTGGTCAGCACGAGACTTCACGACAACACAAAGTTACAAGTATATGAGACACTTTTCTTAAGCTGTCTTCTTTACAACTCTGAAACCTGGGCAATGAAATGCTTCTCTGAAAAAGAGATGAATATGTCTGAGATGTCATGTCTCAGGAGG